GCCGTTACGAGACGCAGAGATTGGTACCCGATTTCAAGGTCCTAGGTCAACCGGTGACCTCTGAGGTCAGGTCAAGTGCCCCAAGGTACGGTTTAGTTTTTGGTGAATAACTTCGGAAAAAAGGCCGCAGAGCGCCGATTTTGGCAGCATCGTGTTCGCCTCGCTCAGGCGCGTCGAATGATATACTTTTTGTCCGGGTCAGGTCAACTTGGGGTGTTGACCTCAGGTCAAGGTCAGGTCAGCACCCCCAGGTCACGAAGTTGGTCGAAAGAGGTCATGTCGCATATCATTCGATTCGGCAGGCCTTCCTGAGTCCATTGGTGGCTTTCCCGACTCGCTAGCTCAATTTGATCAAGAGTTATTGACGAAAAACTAATATGACCTTGATGACATAATAAATGACGTCACGCAAGGTCAACATTGCAAAAGTGACGCATCTAACCTTGCAAGGAGTGCATCAAATCACGATTCTGTGTGCTTGAGATAGTTGGAGATCGTTCCCGGCGCCAGAATAGCAGTTTTCATTTTTTCCCATTGACTTATAATGGTGAGGTCACGAAAATGACCTGACCTCATATGACCTTTAGGAAAAATCCGAGATATACAAGTTGTGAGACTCATAATGGATACTAGATCCTGCAAGTTTCATTTCCCTGTGACATCTCCTCTGGCAGTGAGGGCGTTGCGAAGTTGCGACATCTGAAGACCGTGCAGAGGTTCACTTATGACGTCATAGGTCAGTGACCTGACCTGACCCAAAAATGCGGTTGGTGTCAAAAGATCCGGCTTGGATCAAAGGTCAGGTATGCCAAGTTTCAGCTCTCTATCGCCAGCGTGTTCGGAGCTATCGCGAAAAAACCCTATGGGGCGGGCGGCACCCGCCCCCCCCCCCCCCTCGGCCGGCGAGGGTTAAAGTCGAAGTGTCCTAGCGTCCAGCTTTACCCAGATAAAATCCGTACAATTTCGTTGGAAGCTCAGTCACTACGCCTGCCCGGGCGGCGTCCGCGCCCGGCCAAGCCGCGCCTCGAGCTGTGCGGATACGGCTAATCCGCGGATTCGTTCCCCATGATACGATACGGGGGTCGGGAAGCCTTCGTAATACAGCTGATATGGTATCGGTGCCACACATGGCGCCCATGGGACGCCGCTTTGTGGGACTGACGCGACTGGTGTGGGCGGTGCCAATACCCATAAATCCAGTGAGCGATAACGGAAATCAGAGACGCCACTGATATGCATACCTACCTTTATAGTCACTAGGCATGTCTATTGCCTATACATGCACAGTTATGCCTATGGCCTTGCCTTGCCTAATGAGAAAGTTTCTGGGGCGGGTTGTTGTCATGTTGTGTACCTAATGTTTAGCGTCAAAACGGCTCCGAATTTAGAATAAGTTCGAATAGAATTGGTTATCTAATACAAAAGTCGCATTTATATCAAAGAGAAACCGGCGCAGCTGCAGCTCCACAGTTCAGCTGGCTCTGATAGATGCTGCGACATTATCTTGTTAGTTCTGCACTAGTGGGCTCATGCAGGTCACGATAAGATCAGCCCACACTCGCGGCTACTGTTTTGAGTATAAGCCGCGGCGAACCGTCCGGCGGAGTGCACATTTTACAGAGTCCTGTTAAAAATGCCCATGTGCATTACGTAGATTAATGACCGAGATAACATGGCGTCCTGTCCACGAGTTTTGAGCTCGCCAATAGTACGAGTCATGCGGCCCTGCAAGTTTGAATGTGCTGAGCATCACAGAACCTTCAGCGCGGTATGCGCTGGCGTCGAACACTGGGATTCAAAAGCCTTCTGCTGAAATGAATAAATCCGATAAGCCTTCTCCAATGTCCGGCGTGCTACATGGCGGCGGTGACTGGTGACATCACCCGAGCACATGACGTCACCAGTACTAGCTGCAAAGCCGCGTCGGCCGCTCCTGCATGACATCATCAGTCGCTGGCGGTGACGTCACAGGCGTGACCCGGGATGAATGAGGTCGGGTCGACCTTGACGGAGCTGCGTCTGGTTCCAGAAGCCCACTCCTGACTCCTGAGCTGACTCCAGGTGTCCCGTGCTCCTCGTGTTTGACCTTGGACCCTGGGCGTGTGACCGACGCTCCTGCAGAAGTGCCATCAGCTAGCCGCACGCAGGCCGTTCGGCCAACTAACGAGACATTTACGAGCAGCTCTGCAGCAGAGGCTCCCAGCGACAGTAGTGCCGGTCCGCGGACCAAAGACCATGGAGCGCGGACCATGGAGCGCGGACCATGTAGGACCGACCGGACCGCCGCTCTAGCTGCAGAGGTCGGGGTGCGCGGCTCCAGCTGCAGAGGTCGGGGTGCGCGGCTCCAGCTGCAGAGGTCGGGGTGCGCCGCTCCAGCTGCAGAGGTCGGGGTGCACGGCTCCAGCCGCAGAGGTCGGGGTGCGCCCGGCCAGCAGCACGCCCTGACATCACCTGAGGTATAGCCGCAGAGGTCGGGGTGCGCCCGGCCAGCAGCACACCCTGACATCACCTGAGCTGAGGTATATCTGATCGGACGTGTGCCGTGCCGCGCGTTCCCATGTGGCAGCGCCGGTTTATGGCCACTGCAGAGAGTGCAGCCGACGGCCGGACGCTGTCCGCCTTCAAAGGGCCGCGCTCGTCTCGCTCTGCAGCCGGCTATCGTTGCGAGTCCCGCTCCGGCAACCATGCCTCACCTTGCAGCATGTAGCAGGCCTGGTCCGACATACCGCCTGGCATATGATGACTGTCGGCGGTCATACCACGAACGAAGGCGCTGACCGCCAGGCATGCGGACACTGCAGCGCGAGAGGTATGCCGGATACTCGGCTCCCGCCGAATTACGCTCAACATGCCACACATCAATAGGTTTGCAGTCGGTCCAAAAAACGCCCGTAACCGGGACCTGTCGAGTGCATTAGCAGAACTGAGTTATCGCCGTTTTTGTGCATGTTTTGACAGCTGGAGGCGCCTCTGCTCCGTGTCCGTCCACTGATGTAAAAGGATTGCTCTCGTAAGGGAAGCCGGAAAGCGCACAATCCGCCGGAAAGCACCGGCGGATGCCGCGACACCGGTGACGGTCCCACCGGCGACGGAAGTTGACTGAGGCGGCCGGTATCGGGCGTGCAGTGCAGCGGCGGGGGCGGGGTGAGTCACCTCCAGGCCACCCCCGCCCCGCACCACCCGGCGGCCCCCTGCACGCTGACACAGGACTCGGGCTATGATTCAGAGCCGCAGTCACCGACGCCTGGAGAGACGTGCAGGAGTATCACGAGTCCATCGTGTGAATATTTACATTGGCACAGCAGTGACAGCACCTGCTTGCAACTCGTACAGAATGAAGTCAGGAAAGTTTTTGTGGTTTTAGAGGAACGGAGCCGTCACCAACCAATAAACGGGCCGCATCTGATGCGAAATATTCATTGGGTAATGTGCCATGGGTTTTGGCTTTTTATTATGCAATATGCATATTAATACTTTGTTTCAATACGTGAGAATTAAATGACGACATAACAATATAAAATTTCGCTAGCTTGAAGCCTGTATTTATACCCGAGCCTGCCCTTACGTCATGATAGGCGAGCTGGCAGGCTGACTGTCACTCATGACAACCCCTGACGGGTGACAGCAGCCCTTACCTGGCGACTGCGCCACTCCCCCATATGCGCGGGGAGGGGGGCGGACATTTTTAGACGCTGGAATTAGCCGGCCTTGACAGGGACACGGCCGGGCGCCGGCAGCCGGCCGACTCTCGGTCACGCACACGCGCACAAAACACGCGCGCATATTCATCAGCGGCCCGCAGCGGGGGCGGAGGGCGGAGGGTGGCGTTTTACGGCTCCGAGCGGCGGTGCGAGGACCCAGAGTATAGGTAGACGTGCCGGTCATTCTCGGTCACTGGCTCGGATTGGGTCGCGCTATACCGGTGTTGGCTAGTTTCGGTCGCTGACGGTGTTGGGTCCCCGTGTGGACCCGTTTCGGTCGCTGGCTGCCCGGCCCGGTGACAGGATCACGGGCTGGTGGGGAGGGTCGGGGAGGTGGGGGGGGGGGGGGGGGGGGTCACGTCCCATAGCTGACAGCTGGCTGGATCGATAGGGCCGCGGTCCGTGCAAGAGCTGCTGGATGGCCCTGCCGCCGAGCCGCCGCAATAGTGGCGGGTGAGCACGCGATGTGTGATACCGGACCGGTGTGGGTGGGCCGGCGAGAGGCGGGGCCACGTCAAGTCCTTCGGTGGGACAGAAGCCGTCTATTGTGTGTCTATTGCAAATCGACTCGAAACGCGTAATACAATATGTTAAATGTAAAACAAAACATGCGAAATGTCACACAAATTAATTCATAAATCGACTTATTGACTGCAGAAGACACGCCATAAAGCACGCCTCGTCACCAAATAGACCACATCCATAGCTGTCCCGACCACAGCAGATCGTGACGGCTCATCAGAGTGACTGGTCTCACCCGCCCCTCCTCGCCCGACCTTTCCCTTCCCCAAACAGGAGCTTCCCACAGCGCTGGCAGGGCTGGCGGCCTGCCAGCGCCCTGCATCTCCGTCCGACCAGTGCGACTGCACGCCAGTGTTGCAAGGCCGCCTCACATCGATACACCTTGGTACGGAGTCGGAACGTCATAGTCGCGGGTGCGAGGCTGTTATCTCAGCCATGATTCGTCGATGATATGAACCACTGTTGCCCACTGTGCCGTCTCTGTATTGTGAGGCGATGGGCGTGACATTGTGAGACTCAGGGGACGCAAGGTCGAGCGGCCAATCTTCTGAGCCAGCTGAGCGGCAAACTTCACTCCTGATCAGACCGCCGAAATAGTGACTAAAGAACCACAATTAAGTATTTTTGTTGATAAGTTAAGTGATAAATGATAAACGTCGAGAATGGACTCGCCGTTTATTTTTAACAGCATTCATACGTGGACAATATGCTAGGAGCATGCGATGTGCTACAGTCGGCTGTAACATCCCGCCCCCTCTCCGCGTCCGCTGCGCTCACCTGGACTGCAGGTCGTCCCTCTCCGTCTTCAGGTTGCCCAGGTCGATCTGCAGTTTGGCGCGCTCCTTGGCCGTCTCGTCGAGCAGACGGCGCGCGTCGGCCAGCTCACTCTCGTACAGCGACTTGATGTTGGACACTTCTCGGGTGACCACCTCCTGCGAGGAGCGCACCTGGTGCGTCAGGCGGCTGTTCTCCAGCTCCAGGTTGCGCACCTTTTCGATGTAGGCGGCCAGCCGGTCGTTGAGCCCGGCCAGCTGCTCCTTCTCCTGGAGGCGCGACGTGCGCGTCGGACTGTGCGGCGAGCGCGCGCGCACCGGGCTCGTGGCCGCCGAGCCGCCCGACGACGTGGACATGGTGGTCCGCTTGTAGCTCATCCTGCCGGACATGGTGTGGCCGTCTGGTGCACCGGTGCCGGGGGACTGGCAGCGGCGCGCCGGCGCGGCTCGGCCACCGCCGGCCGACCCCGCCCACCGACCGCTGACGTCAGCCGGCCATCGAGCCGGCCGGCCGGCGGACCGGTCGCGGCACGTCGCTGGTGGGACGGGCGGGCGTGTGGGTGGGCCTCGCTGCCCGTCATCACACGCGGCGGGCAACAGACGTGGGACGGGCGCAGACATGTCCAGCAGACAGCGTGGCACTGGCGACCAAAGTCACTCAGGTGGCAGCTAATACGGCGGTGAATAGTGGACCTCACTCGGGCCGCTCCTGAGGACCCTAAGCCGGCCTTGAAAGCCCAACACCGTGCCGGGTCCTGGGTGTCCTGTTTCGGCTTCTGAGGGCGTCAACTGCAACCGAACCTCTTCAGGTCCCGCTGGTCTCTGAGGGGTCTGAGGGGCATGCCGATCACGTCAAGTCCAGGCCAATCTCTGAATATACCTACCTATCGTTTATTTATCATCCTCCAGGGCCAGCTTGGAAAACTCACACTGGCTTTTTCAGCCCATAATAGTCTGAAAGGGTCTCACTGAAAGGTTCTGAGAAGTGAGAAGGCGTATAGAAAGTTTGGGTACCCAATGTGTTCATAGATGGGCTCGAGGGCCTATAGGAGCTTCAGCCCTACCAGTAGGGTAGGTACTGAGTCACTGACCCGTCCGGGACCTGGCCAACTCTTTCGCCGAATGCGACCGGTAGCAAACGGGAACAATAGAAACGAACTACCTACAAGTAAAAGCTTATGACTAAGCCAAACAATATTGAAAACGACTTTAAAAATTGTAGAGTCCGACCGCCTCTGCCTCTGGCTCTACACTCGACAGCCCTGGGCGAGGCCAGAGGGTCCCGGCAGGCGGCCGGTGGGCTCGCTGGCGAAGTTAGGCGACGGCGCTGAAGTAGACAGCAGCAGTCACCATAGATGTCGCCACTATCCAGCCGCGGTACGCCTCGCCAGGCCAAGGACCAAGGATCACGCTCCCAGTGAATAAACCTACATATCCGGACCCGATACGAAGAGCGGCTTTCGGGTGGTACGGAGAGCTTTATATGCCTCCGGCTCGCGGCGCCGATCAGAAACATATACAGGTCGAATCAAACATCCCATGCATGGTACACTAGTTTAGTACCTACATAGGTACCTACCCGTTCATCAGATCCGGAGCGGACGCTTGATGTTTCCGCACGAGATCGACCGTAGCCCAGCGGCCAATTTCTAAGACTGAACAGTGCCGTGACGTTACCTACGCGGTCGCACAATGTGGGGACAAACGGGTACCCCTCCCCCTCCCATCCCCCGGTAAATACATCCTGTTGACACGCCCGGACCTATAAATCGGGGTCTTCCCTCGGATCCACATCCGCAATGCATGGAACCCAGCTAACAATTTGCCGTTGTTACAACGTCGTTTAAACGTTGTCAAATGGTTACCACAACGTCCCGATTTATCGTTGTGACAACGTAATTTTGTAGACTCCAGACAACGGCGTGACAACGTCATCCGACCATGCATTTGAATGTCATCACAACGTTTCTGTAACGTGGCCGTGACGTCCCAAAACTGTTCTTACAACGTCCCGCCAACGTTATGAAATGTTTTCTGTAACGTACCAACAGTGTTTCTGGAACGTTGTCACCACGTTTCCGCAACGTGACTACAAGGAGTATAGAACGCTTTGGCAACGTCTCTGCGACGTTTTTATCACGTGCGCACCACGTTGTCGCTACTTCGTATTGCCGTCCCTGCGACCCTGAGTAAACGTCCTAAACATTTTCGCAACGCCCTCTCAACGTGTTCGCAACATACTCAGAATGTGTTTCCGACGCTCTCTTCCCGTTCTCTAGACTTGTAAAAAAAGGCATGTAAGAAGTGTATATTTCAATACATCATACAGGTCTATTTACAAAAAAAAAAAAAAAACGGCGGGGGCGTTCATTCATTCATGGGGGCGTGGGACGGAATTGGGTTCTACCGGCTCTGGCGCTAGCCGCTAGCACGCCAGAACTGGTGTTCACTTCTGAACTTCTTCACTAGTGAAGAAGTTCACTTCTTCACTAACCCTCGCTGGGAGGATCACTCGGCGGACCGTTAGGCACCGGCTCATTTGAGGCCTCGATGTCCCTAGGCAGCTGGCAGTGCCTGACTAGACGGTCTGCGCACCCCCCGTTCCGGTCGCAGCTTCCGGACAGCCACTTCGCTACCGCATTGCCGACAGTAGGCCCGCCACAAGGCGCGCTGACGAGTTGCAGGACGTCTGCGGGAAGACATGAGGGAAAATCAGACATTCAATTCATGAAAAAATCACAAAAAAATACCTGCACCACTTTCCGTAACAGTGCGACAGGCTAGATCAAATATGTCAACACCTTAGAGGCTAGAGCTACAATGAACTATAGCCTAGACCGCACGATATTACAAGGCGCAATCTTGCAAATGCTACTCGTAAATGGTACTTTGACTCAGTGGCGGCGGAATAGGGGGTGCAGGGGGTGCAGCTGCACCCCCATCGAAAAACATGGGGGTGCAAACATATCTTTTTGCACCCCCAAAATCCGTACAAGGGGCCCGTCGCACCATCCAATACATTTCTCCTGAAAACCAGTGATCGGGAAACGAACACTGATGTGGAATCATCCAGGATGTCCAATGATGGTCAGGAGCGCCCCATGCTAGTCTTTGGGGCCCCCACACCGGCTAGAAGTGTCCCAGTCCCACACACAAGGGGGAAAAGCTCAAAAAATTGAGCGCTCAAAAAATTGAGCGGGCCCCATTATGAAGGAATAGGCGAAACGATGGTATTTTACAATGCCTTTAGCGTCACACTACGGCAAATATCGTATCCAAATAAGGTATCAATGGCAAGAGGGAGCAACAAGGTTTCTTCTCGAACACTCGCCGTGATAATTTATATCGGTGTTTTTGGAAAGAAAATGCCCTAAAGACGCTCAACTTTTTGAGCGCCACTTGTCGTTCGGGACCGCGATACTCAATAAATTGAGCGCCACGACAGACGACAGTCAGCTGGCGCTCAAAAAATTGAGTGCCGGCCAGCATCTACACTCAATTTTTTGAGCGTTCTCCGTGACAGGTGAAGCCGGTACTGGCTGCCATTTTTGATGTTCTGTTCGTTGAAATACGTTAAACTGAGTTGAAACAGAAATGCAGGAAGTTGAATGCTACGTGGCACCTTAACTTTTCACAAACCCATGGCATCATGTCACATTTTCCGCTAGTAGTTTTATCGGTCGCCTTTCGGATTCGGCACACCTCAGATAATTATACAGGGCTTGAATAATCCGTATGAATACTGTATTGATATTCTCTGACTGTACTGGGAGAAGGGAATACGTGAATACAGAAAGACATCCACCCACGATTGAATATTGGATAATTATAGCAGGAAAAACTGTATTGCCACGGTTACAACTTACAAGGCCATCGGCCGCAAACAAACAAAAATACTATACAATGTGGGTTAGATTCACAAACATCATCAAGTGTGGAACACAGAGACGAGCAAAACAACATCACATTATCGCATGCCAGCCCGACCACATTGGAACCGGGTGACCTGCGACCGGAACCTGCGTCTTGCCAGCATACATCACAAAAGCAGGAGGCAGTGTCGTACTGCTTTGATCCAAAATATGCCATATAACAAATGATACAAACGACCTAAGCTCGGACTAAGCTAATCATTATCAAATCCTTAACATGTAAAGGACGAATGGAAACATTGAGTCTCAGACCAGCAGTAGCAACCATCACAGTAGCAACATCACAAAGAACACGCGGCATTATCAGACAGCCGTTTTGTTATCGGGCTACAGGTGGCGACGGCGTGGTTGCAGACCAGCTGCGAGGTAGCGGCGTGCGGGCAAAAGGCACGGGCACGCCTCCATGTGGCCGTGCAGACAGTGCGCGGTCGGCGTCGCATAGTGGGCGGCATCGGGCTGTCCCGGGGCCGTCGAAGCCGCACAGGTTGTCGGCGCATGTTGGCGCGCGCGGTCACCACGGCCAGCTGCTCACCGCCAGCACAGACTGCGCAGCGTCGCCGCTCCACCGGCCAGAACACGCAGACAGCCCTTCTTGCAGTCGCACAACACGTAGCCAAACTCATTCACCTGCTCAACCATGTTGTTGATGTCACCGAGTCGTTCAACTTGTGGCTCGTGCCGTCGAGCATGACCTGTCCGATCGGACACGGGTCAGCGGCTTCTGCTCCAGCGAAGTCTTCATCTTGGTGACGTCTTGCTGATCTCCACAAAGGCTGAGCAGATGACTTTACCCACAAGGACGGCCGACGTCCTCGCCAGCGACCGCTTGGTTGTGCAGACCTGCCAGAAAAAGAAAAGCTGTTTGGTGATCTCAAACGATTTTTTTCTTTATGCAGTGGAACAAAATGGAAAATATGTCATACAATAGGAACTAAAAAAAGATGCAGCCTAGGTCGTCTAAGAAATGCGTGCAACATTGATAAAATTCTTCATTGAATGAATTCTGCAAATGCTTTTGATAAAATGTGTGGTGATTATAAGGAGACCACTTTACTATAAAATTGCTCAGGATTCCCTATCTGGACCTGTAAAAAAATCCTGACTGCACACCAACAATGAGCATTAAATCCGAAACCTCTACCAGGTACCTAGGGATAATTAAATTCTGATTCTGATTCAGGAAAATATTTCACATCATACAAATAAAAACCTTTACTATATTGAAAATGAAAATGTGATGCCGATCCAGTGACATAAGGGTCTCAAAGTATAATAATGAATTAATCTATTATAAATTTGGTGGTGACTGCCGACTGGCGTCTGGCAGCCTAGACCTTGAGGCTTGAAAGTGGCCTTCCTTTTCCGTTGACTCCGATCCTCCAGATGGAAATGATAGGTATGAAGGATCATTTTTATCTTATTTCATATGAGCCAGTCAGCAAAGTGGCTATCCTGTTTCAGCATTCACACACACAATAGTTGACTGTCAGTCTGTCATGCTATCAGTGTTGTGAAGTAACGAAGGAGTTGAGTTTTGTTGATTATAAATTGTGATGTTATGTAAAGGACTGGAAAATGAATGTGAAAACTATGGAAACATATTGGCAGAGTATTGTCACTTACTATCAGGACATATGGATAGAGAATACATTCAAATTAATAAGAAATGCCAAATATCAAGGTACTCAATCACTGATAGCAGTGGACTATCATATGTTTTAATGTCAATTATATGAAAGTTAAGGCTGAAACTACCTTTTACCTCATCATACCTAATGAAAAATTGTGTGAAGAAAACATTCACAGCCTCTTTGAAGCACTTAGACCACTAAAAAACAAAAATTTTCACATAAATATGTTGTGTCTCCTTCCTTCAAAACATCATATCGAATGGCGCCA